TAAATGTTCAAACTTTCTAAAAGTTATCTTTTTAGATATTGCATATTTCAAACAACAAAATTGGTACCGCAGTTCTTGTATATAGATCACATATATTTATAAGATTTTGGAAATTATTTTATAGCAGAAAAAAAAATGTTTTCATGAATTTTAATCATAAACACAATTTTGAAGCTTTTGTACATCGAATATCGGAATGTGCACTGCACATTCTAATAATTTCACATTATGAAATACTGAATAAAAACAATAGTTAACACAATGTTTAATAACAAATATAAACCATTTTCACATGTTCATATAAAAACAAAAAAAATTTAAAAACTGCTTAAAAGTTGAAATAAAGTATTATTAGTAAATTTTGTTTAGATTTTTGTTTAAATTAAACTTTCTAGAAAAAAAAAGTTTAGTTTTGATTACTTTTTATTGTTTAAAAACTTATACCCTGTTCATACTGACTAGAGCTGTTAATCAGTAGGGTCTAGGCCCAGATCCAATCCGACCTGCTTGAACCAGGTACGGGTTTTGTTATTATAGACCCAAAACCAGACAGACCCAGACCCATTAGAACCATTACCCAAACGGGTCAGCTACACACTGTGGCCAAAAGTGTGTATCCATCAACGATTTTTTTAAAAAAAATATTCAAAACCAACTTTTTTAATTTTTGAAGGTTCTTCAAAATTATTTTTTTTGGTTTTTAAGAATAACATCAATATAATTTAAAATATATGCGAAATAATATAAGTGAGATTTAGTTTATTTTGATGCTGCAATAGGTGATTTAGAACCAACAAAACGTGGTGCAGTTTATGCACTTTATAAAGAAGGTTTTAGTCGAAGACAAATTGCTAAAAAAGTTGGTGTATGTAAGCGAACTGTTCAAATAAATGTTAAAAAAGGAAAAGATGGCTGAAAAGATGGTTTAGAGACTTGCAAAAGATCCGGTCGACCAAAAATTATTAACAAAAGAGGTGAAAATTTGATAAAAAGAATGGTTGTTAATAATCTAAGAATCTCTTCAAAGTACTATTGAAACTTTGAAACTATTGAAAATATTGTTGCAACTTAATTTACACACATTTATGTCAATGTTTACATAAAATAAAGGTTTTATGACAAAATATTTAAAAATTCGTTTTTTTTGGGGTGGATACACACTTTTAGCCACCAGCGTATACACACCCAACCTGTTTGGGTAACGGGTCTAACGAGTCTGAGGTTTTGGGCGTATATTAACAAAACTCAAACCCGGTTCAAATGAATCGGGTAAAGATTTAGAACCCAACATACTTACAGAAAACTGCGTAATACAGCTTTATACAAAAACTGTTATACAGTTTTTACAATTAATAACAAAACGTGTTTATCATCAGTATTACTGACAATAAAACTGTATTACTATACAGTATTACTAAAAATAAAACAGTATTACTGACGATAAAACACGTTTTACTTTTAAAGCATATTGTTAAAAACTGTATAAAACATTATTGCAAGGTTTTTTTGTCAATATAAAAAGTTTGTGTAAATATACAACAACTTTTCCTTGTTGTTTTATTGTTGTTTTATGCATTTTATAACATTGAAAACAATAAACGTGTTTAAACAAAACTTGTTTTATCAATATGAACAAGGTACTTTGTTTTCATTTTCACCGTCGTAAAGCTTATTTGTTGTGCAAACTTTTAACCAACTTTTAAACCAACTTTTTAAACTAACTTTTAACTTAACTTTTAAGAAGTAAGATTTAGAATGAGTAAGATAATAAAATGTGAACAATTTAAACCCTTAGACACGCTGGAAAAAATTGAAGAAAGAGAAAAGAGTGTTTTATAATAAAAATAAAATTCTCTGAGTTACAAAAAGCTATCAGGAGCATCATATAAGCAATAAAAGAAGATGTAAAAAAAAAAAGTGATAGGGTTCTATCTGCATTTTTTTATGTAGTAAGAACTTAACTTTCGTTATTTAATTATTAAAATATTTTAATGTTGTTATACTTTAGTCGTTTAAGTTATTAAGGTTTTATTATTAAACATATATTATTATTCATAATATTTTTCAAAGTGTTTGTTTCTATTATTAATTACAAATTAAAACTTTAATTGTTAAATGATTGGCGAAAAAGTTCAAGGAAAAATGTTTTTGATATTTAAAAACACAAAGTAATTTTTAATGCTCTATGACTGCCCACCTATCTCTCGAAGAAAAAATAAATGAAATTTCAAGATATGTTTTTGCTAATAATTGATTGTATTCAATTAAAGAAAGATTTGAGGATTTTAAAGAGATTCTTAAAAATAACATTGTTAAAATAATCATAGAAAATTTAAATTTATGGATTAAGCATCGAAAACTGCAGAATCTAAGGGTATAACAGTGGTGCAAATATTTTAGAAAATATAGTAAGGTGTTCAAACTTATTTAAATTAATTAATATATTAAAAAAAAAAAATGAATGAACCAAATGTACAGTTAAAAATGAAAACTGATGCAGACTTTTCAACCAAAGAAAAAAAAAAGTTAAACTTTTGACGTTAGATAGGGCGGAAAAATAATGGAATACAGTTACAACAAAGATTTAAAGCAACGTTGTATTTGTCATCATCTTCATCATCGTTTACTTGTCATCATCTTCATCAAAGTATTATCAGACTTTCAATTTCCATTGGAAGATAATTCTCTTTTAATTAAAAAAACTCAATCAACGAGAAAATCCTACTGAATTAATGAAGTTTATACGCTTCTAATCATTAACTGATGCTTATCCAAACATTGAAATTGCTCTAAGAATATTTTTAACAATTCCATTGACTATTTCGACATTTCAAAGAGGTTTTAATAAACGCAAGTTTGTAAAAAAATGTTTACGATTATCTATAGGACATAAACGCATGCCCAATTTGAATATTATTTCAATTGAAAATGAAATAATTAGAAATGTAAAGTATGACAATGCTATAATTGATTTAGCAACCATTAAAGCAAGAAAAGTTTATTTATCTTAATGTTATTAAAACATATAGAGATTAATGATTTAACTTTTGGAAGGGTCAGACTAGTCAATTTTGCTTAAATTTATATTAGGAGCTATTATTAGCAAAGGTTGAATGCTAATAAGTTGTATAATATAAATATTTCAGGTCAGGACCTGTATAAAAAAATTGTATACTGTAAACAGTACAAAGTTCAGGTCCCGAACCTAACCCAGGTCAGGTCTTGTTCAAGATCATCATGATCACCCTGCTATTGGTAACATGTAACCCAGCACTACCTGCCCCATACCATGCTGCATTTAAGGGTGTGCTTTTTTAGGCAAAGACTAGAAAAAACAAACTCCGACTTAAAAAGTGCCTGCCTTGGGGCTTTTGTTGAGTAAAGGCTTCAGATAGTGTCTTAATAAAATGACTGATCTTGAGAAGATGTTAATTGCAACCAGCTATGGTAATGTAGAAGGTCTCCTTGGCAAAGACTTTAGGGGTAATCAGAAAAGTTCTGCTAAACAGTTTCGGAACTCTTCTTTATCTGCTAGGCTGGTGTAGATGTAAACCTCTTTTACATTGTTTCCTGCATAGGGTGATGAACGCTGGATCTTTTTGACTCTACTCACAGAACTTTGCTTTTGCTTGGTTGATCGTGAATATGTAACTCTTCTTGTTATCTCCTAGCGAGGGTATAGCGCTAAAACTCATTTTAATAGTTTTGAAATTTGCTGGTAGAAATGTTTTCCGAACTTTGAGGTAGCTCTCAGAGAGATTAGTTCCATCAACAGTTGCAACGTATCAGAGTATAAACAGTATCATGTTGCGCATGGATGGTGTCCCTGGTAATGCTTAAATGCGTATTGACAAGACCACATAAGGAGCCCTATGTTATAACTTAAAAAAAGATTTTATCGTGCACTAGATAGAGTTTGTCTTGTTGGTCTTATCCATAAGCTTGTTTCATGTGGCGTATCTGGGAAAATTTTTGTTTTTTTCTAACCGCTTTCTAATCATTTTTTTCTAACCGCTTTATCAAAGTCATCCTCAACGACCAACACTCTTCTTTATTTTTAGTAACTTCTGGGGTACCTCAAGGGATTAGTATTAATTCTGCTTTCTTTCTTACCTACATTTATGGTCTTCCCGACAAACATACATCTAATGTAGCTCTTTATGGTGATGACTCCATTTTATACTCCTGTCCTGACAAAAAGTCTTTTCTTTTTTAATTTCTTAAAACATGCAGCCAATCTTAAATCTTATCTCACTTATATAACAGACTGGGGATCGCAGTAACTTTTAAATTCTAACTCCAACAAAACTTAGTTTTTTACTGTTTACAACTATCGCAATACTGCCGACATTTCTATATAAATGAATAGCAACCCTCTCACTGAGTCCTATTCTATGTATTCAGCAGTATTCCATGACTATTGTCATGGAATACTGTTGAGCTGGTTTTCTAATGATGCTTTTTTTTTCTAGAAAAGGTAGAAAAACGCATTGTAAGCGTAGTTGGACCCGCACAATCTTCTAAGCTTGAGCCACTTTCCCAACGTCGCAAAGTTGCATCTTTTTCTCTATTCTACAAATGCAATCATGATCGCTGCATAAAGGAGGATCTCTAGTTTCATTAACTAAAACTCATATTCGCTGGACTCGTCTTTAAGACTTCGTCTCATTTGTTTACTGTATCTGTCTCTGCATGCTTTTAAAACTTTTATTCTTCTAGTTTTTTTCCCCGGACTTCAAGCCATTGGAACTCTCTCCCAACTTCATGTTTTTTTGACTCATACAACCTACAATTTTCAAGTCTTTTGTCAATTGTTTTTTTGCTCTGTAACTCTAATGTTTTTCTTGTAACTCCAAACTTAATAGTGGCTTCTTGCAGCCTTGTTGAGAGTGTATCAGAATTAAAAAAAAAACAAAAAACATTTTAATAGCCTGATTTGCTGCGTTATTCGCAGCCACAGTTTGTCTTAACCGCGGCGAATAGTTTTTAACAAATTATTTTTAACAAAATATTTCTTAACACAACAACAAAAATTTCACTTTTTACAAATATCACGAGTTTATTTAGTATTGTTGTGTCTGCTAAATATATTTGAAAATGTATCAAAAATATAAACTTACTTTCGAATGTCTAAACATTTTTTTGTAGCAAATATAACTTAATAAAAGTTTAAAATTGTAATCAAGACTAGCTTAAAGACAAGCGTAAAGACTAAAATGATAGCCTATAGATTGTTTTTACTAACTCTATTTCTTGTGGTTTTACTATATTCTGGATATGGTCTGCTTGCTGCTTTATTTGTTTTTTTTATTACAACAGTTACGACATATATCTGTTATTCACTTAAAACACAATTAAAAGTTGAGCGATTAGTCAACTTCATTTTAAAATTTGGAATATGTAAGTCTATTTTAGTAAATTTTGATAAGCATTTTATTATTATTAGTAGTATTCAAACCAGTAAAGTAAAATACCATTAAAGAGCTCTGAGCTTTGAAAAATCTAATTACTACTATGACATTATTTATTCAAAATAAGGCTCATAATAAGTAAAATACTTTGGTATTATAAAAGTAAAACACTTTGGTATTATTATAAGCCACTGTGTCACACTGTCAAATTGAATACGACGCAGTTTTGCTGATAAAATTCTTTAATATAACTTGAGTTTAGAAAATGAAAAAGTTTTACTATTGCTATGTATACTGTAATTATTAATGCAAATGCATATATTTTTATTTACACCCCTAAATAAACTATTTATAACTTGTAGAAATGGTACTCAACAGCGTTGTTGAGTATTGCTTTTATAAATTATTAAGAATAAGTTAGAAGGAATAACATGATCCTTATTTTCATTTGGCTCCTAATAAAAACTTCAGTTTGCTTAGGGGATCAAAAACTATGAAATAAAATCCAACTTGTTGTGCAAGTGTAAGAGACTGTAAACTTTGGATGGTAATCTTTCTAGTAATAATGTGATAATAAAAATACTTAGTTTTCTGAACTGCATAAAACAATAACAATAATAAAGAGTTTATATTTGTAAACAATTCTTCTGATGCATGAAAGAATCTTTTATAAATATTCTGGCACTAAAATTTAAGTTTTTGTTCAATCTGTTAGTCAAATAAATTACTTTGTGACTCATTTTCCAGACAATTTTAATCACTTATTTTACTCCTAGATTTGACACTAGTTTGTGCTTAGTTTCTCCTTGTTCTCCTTTAGTTGGTTCAGGCAGTGCTACTTCTGCATCAGATTAATAAACATCAGATTCTTGGCTGATAATTATGCTTCTTATATAATCTCCTAAATATAGGAAAACCTAAAAGCTTTCATTCTTTTTTATTAGTTTCAAGTCAACCCTCACTCTACCCCATGGTTTTCTCTTTGTGTATAACGGCTATTTCTAATTATAACTCTCTCTTTTATCTTTTTCTCATGAATTATTAAAGCCTTTGAGTCTTCTAACAAACTTCTAATAACTGATCTTGAGTCTAAAAACTTTTTGACAATCAATACAATTTTAGATCTTTTTCTACTGCTGTCCTATTAAAACTTTTATATTATTACTGCCATTACAGAAGGAAATCTCCTGACATATCAAAAGCTTTTGATAAATTCTGACATACTAGTCTTTATTATAAGCTCTTTTTTATATGGGAAAAGTTTTTTAAAAATATTAATTCCTTTTTAATGGCAGTAAAGTTGTCTTTGATTGAAAACACTCTCCTTTATTTTCATTAATTTTTTGGTATCACAATGTTTCATCCTTGGTTCTGAGTTGTTTTTTATCTATATTAATAATTTTCCTCATAATTATCGGTTGGCTCTCTTTGTTGATGATAAATTATATGTTTATTGTGTTTATTATTTTCTAACTCCGTGCTCCTCTCTATCTCTATAAATCTTTTATTTGTTCTTGTATGGAATATTGTTATCATATTTGAGCTAGTTATTCTAATGTTGTCTTTTTTATTTAGATAAGTTAGTTTGCTTAAGCTTCAGGGTAAGGATTCACCAAACTTTACAAACATATGGAAATCATATGTTTTGCGTTGTTTTCCTAACTACTTGGTATTTACCAATTTTTCACAGCATTTTTGTAAAGTTAGGGTTGCGCATGAATTGCGCTGAACTTATGCAAAAAAAAACAACAAAATGATTTTTTTTTTCTTAATGAACCAAGTTTTCATAATTTTATAAAACAAACTTTTCTAATATTAAATTCATATAATTTCTAACCAATTTAAATTTGGGATTTTACTAATTTGAATTTTTTACAGCCTAATAAAATGAAAGCAATACTTTTATAAAACTCTGCTATAAAAACATATTAAATACTTTTAATTGAATTTTTATTTAGTAAAAACTATCAAGAAAATAATTATAAGTAGAAATAAAGGAAAAAGGGTTCAGAATTAATTAATCTACAAAGACGTTATTAATAATTTATTATTATATTTTCACTTATTATAACTATAATATTTTACATATAATCATTTATAGTTTATTATTATTTTAATATAAATTGTTTTATTTTATACTTACAACTTATCATTTAACCAATTATAACTTTTTTTTAATATATATTTACGTTATTCTTCTTTTACTTTATTAATAGTATTTTTTCATTATTTGTTTTAACTGTTAAATAAATATTATTTTTGTTTTACTATTTTATCAATTGAATTATATTTATATTGTTAATAAATACTATTATTATTTTTATTATTTTTGATTATATTGCTGTTCATATTACTCTGTTTCCTTATTTCAGTTCATTCAATCATTTCATTTTATAAACTGTACCACTTAAATGTCTACTCACTGCAAAGATTGCTTCAAGAAAGTTAATAAAAACCATCACTACCTTCAATGTAATCATTGCCTAAACCTTTTTCATAAAAAATGTTGTCGTCTGAATGATATTGAATTTAGAATATTGAAAAACTCTAAAACATCTTGGTTCTGTATTTCATGTAGGGAAAAATTTTTTCCATTCAGTACTTTATCAGATAAGGAGCTGCACCTGCAAACAATAAATGATAAAGTGATTCATATTAATGAATTCGAAAACAACATATCACCTTTCCATACAGTCTAATCTTTATAATGAACTTAATGATTTTATTTCCCATCAAATTAATAACAACAATGACTTTTATTAGCAAACTCAGATAATTCTGTCACTGAATTTTTAGACACTATTGCTTTAAATAACTTTCTTCCCTTTATTTCATTGCCAACAAGAATCACAAATTATTCCAAAACTCTAATTGATAACATATTTTCTAATGCAACTTCTACAAGTATTTTTGTAGGTAATTTTACTTCTACGGTATTAGATCATTCGCCCCAATTTTTAATACATCTATTTTATAGAACCAAAATTAATACTCGTAAAAGCCGCATTTTTTGTCGAAATTTAAAACAAATAAATTGCGTTGAATTATGTAGTGATTTCTCAAAATTTAGCTGGACTAATGTAATCAATGTCAATAAAGGTAAGACTAATAAGTCATTTGAAGAGTTTTTCTCAAGTTTCAATTCTCTTTTAGATAAACATGCACCATTAAAAAAAGTCAGCAATTGCTGCTTATCAAGGGGTCTTGAACCTTGGATAACACGAGGAATCTTGACTTCTATTAAAATGCAAAATAAAATATTTAACAAATTTCTTAAAGCAAAGAATCCTAATGACAAACTCAATCTAGAAAAATCTTATAAAACATATAGAAACTTACTTGTTACTCTTACCCGTCGTAGTAAAAAGAACCATTACTCTAAGTTCTTCTCTAACAATGCCAAAAATTTGAAATCTACATGGGATGGTATTAAGAATCTTTAAACATTAGTTCGAGAGTTAACTCATCTCCTTCATGCTTATCTTCTACCAACTCCATGATATACGATCCCATTAAAATTTCGGAATCTTTTAATTCATTCTTTGTTTCAGTTCCGGAAGATTTACAGAATAAGATCCACTCATCCAATACTGACTTTAATAAATATCTTAAAAATCCTAATCTTAATTCAATGTTCATAAAACCTACAGACAAAAACGAAGTATTATCAATTATTCATTCTCTTAATGACAGCAAGGCTTCGGGACCTAACAGCATTCCAATACCTATTTTTAAAGCTCTTGCAAATGATATCTCTCCTGTACTTTCTGAACTATTTAATCTGTCATTCACAACCAATGTATTGCCTGATATTTTAAAAACTGCTTAAGTTATCCCAATTCATAAAAAAGACTCAAAACTTGAATGTAATAACTACAGACCAATTTCTTTATTATCAAATGTCAGCAAACCTTTAGAAAAACTTATGTATTCTCGTATTTACAACTTTTTGAATAATTCTGCTTGTTTTCATATTTGACAATTTGGGTTTCGCTCAAATCACTCCACTTCTCACACTCTTATTAGCATTACTGAAATGATTTGTGGTGCAATTGACAGTGGTTCTTTTGCTTGTGGTGTATTCATAGATCTTCAAAAAGCTTTTGATATGGTTGATCACAACATTCTAATAAAAAAGTTAAACTATTACTGAATACGTGGTATTGCTAATCATTAGTTTTCTTCATATATTACGGATCGCACTCAGTTTGTTTCAATTAATGGATTTGAATCCACACATAAAGTTATTAAATATGACGTTTCACAAGGTTCCGTTCTTGGACCGTTGTTGTTCTTATTATATATAAATGATTTATCTTGTTCGTTAAAAAATTATATGATACATCATTATGCTGACGATACTAATCTTTTATATATCAACAAATCCCTCACAACTCTTTGTAAAAAAGTTAATCAAGATCTTCATGGCTTATGTAACTGGTTAAATAGTAACCGTATTTCCTTGAATGTCAATAAAACTAAATACATTATTTTTCATTCCCCTCAAAAAACTATTGATCATATTAAAATTAAAATTAACGGTAAAAAACTTTTTCCATCAAAATACATAAAGTGTCTTGGAATATATCTTGATGAAAACCTATCTTGGTATAATCAACTGTATTATCTAAAAAAAAACTTACACGAGCTAACAGTATGCTTTCTCTAATTCGTTACTATGTTCCTATCCAAACTCTTTGAATGATTTATTTTTCTTTATTCTCTTCTCACCCTTGCTATTGTTGTATTGTTTGGGGTCAAAAAAGAAACTTTTTACTTAATAACATTGCTAGTTTACAACGCGCATCTATTAGAAAAATGACATTTTCCCCAATGAGATCTGATATTGAAAAAAAATTTTCTGAACTAAAAATCCTAAAACTCCATAATCTTGTAAAGTTTTACAATTTTCTTTTTGTGTTTGACTTTCTCCAAAATAAACTACCAAGTCCTTTTTCAAATTTTTGTATTAAAACAAACGAAGTTCAT